TTTATCACTATTTTGGTGTTTACGTTTCTGGTGATTACTGTGAAATACCATATTTAAATACTTCATAGTATACTTATGTAATACTGGCTGAATATTAATTAATAGCATAATGCTATGTATAATGTATATATATATATACACGCATATACTATGTGTATGTATATACTTAATTAATCTTAATTACAGATGTATGTATATACTATATGTGTGTAATAAATACTTCACCATCCAACGCCACGTATACACCCGGAGTCCGAGTCAGTCGAGAGAAGCCGGCCATAGATCTGGCCGTTGCCCAGTAGCCCGTCGAGTGGAGCAACTGATGTCGTGGAAACTAAAGAAACTTGCTGTAGAAAGTCAGTTGCACACCATGTAAATTCCTGACATATTCATGTCATCTTCATTCTATATTCATTCAAAAATATCGCGCTGATAAATGAAATATGATCAAACATAGTGAGTATATATAATACGCCCAATACGCACCGTTTGGGGATAGGTGAATCACCAACATCGGATCAACGATCTCTGGGTGCTTTAACAAATTATGTGTCAAACCGGCCCGTGGTACCTTCATAAACACCAACATAGCTGGCAAATGGGTATTCACCCCACCAAAGTGCCAAATATGGTACTGGCTTATGTGCAATAGACTTTGGTCCATCCATCCCCCCCAATTTCTTGATGCGATGTTTGGCAGTCCTGGGCTCATGTTTGGCATGAGCACAACCTGGGAAAACCCATTCATCAATATGGATTTAAGTCGTGCTGGCAGTGGGATATCAGCTACAAGGGACACGCCCTTTGGATTGGAATCGACAGGCCTGACCGGCGCACGCTCACTGTATCACACGCCACTGCATGCCTGGCACAAGGGTGGTACAAGAATGCTATTGCAAGCATGGGTTCAGGGGGGGGCGTGTTGGTGGCCAATTTCAATTTTTTTGGTGGGTAAAGCCAGATTATGGCGCTGTCTCTGAAAAATTGAAATTCCCAAATCCTATGACCTATTCTCACGTTACCTCCATGAAACATAACGTGTAAAATGGGCTAGACGCACCCTGCCCCGCCTATTTGCATCACAAGCATGGCAATGCAACCCATCAGCAGGATCACCTCCAAAAGCTTGGAAGTGGCGAAGAACTGTATTAATACTGGTTTCATTGATTCAGCGAGATCTGGGCCCGGGGCAACTGCATTCATTGAGTAGCATAGATGGGTTGATGAAGATCCTACAAGTACCCTTGGCTTGCCCCATACTTTTCTGGAACTCAAACACCTTGACGCACCCAAAAGCAATAGCTTCTGCCTCAACAAGAAGTATGCTCGACATCGCACCGCCACACGAATTCCAAATGTGTTCCCAGAAGGAGCTTCACAGCCAGTATCTTCATGAGTTTCTGGTTGCGATGTCCCCTGGTGGTGCTTATGGCAAATATTATGGGGCTTTAAAGGGTTCCATGTTTAGAAGTATGACCGGGGCGGGTGAAGGGCTGCAATAAAGTGGAACGCATCTAGAGAATTTTACACATAATCAGAAAAAAACGTAATCTATCTATATAAACCTACAAAAATCTATATGTAATATACCTAAATCATTCTCAATCCGTCACAACCTGGTGAATTTCCAGAAGTTTCTTCGGTTTTTGCCAGGCCTGAGCCACGCAAACCATCACCAGGATGGCCACGAAGGCCTGGGATCAACATATGGATGCGCCATGAGTCAAGGCAGTCAACCTGTGATGAAAACAATGGGAACTTTGGATGGATTTAATCTGATTGAATCAGATTTAATCTCATTTTATCTGATTTAAGATGGTGAATTTGAAGCCAGTGGCTGCAGGAACTTACGATTTTTATCATGAAGAACGGGGATCTCATCATCAAAAAATAGGGAAAATATATGGAACATGGCGATATTTGATGGGAAAATATGGGAAAACAAACAATAGGATCAATAGGTGGGAGATATGGTGGGATGTGCAACCAAAGATGGGGATATGATATGGGGTATGGCTATGGCAATCCATCCCATCATTAGGAAGTCGTTCCGATGGCCGATGGCTATATAAATCTCCAATAATGAATTGGTGACCATCTTCCAACACGGGTACATAATCCAACTATCGACACGGAGCTTGCGGATCAGATTCCACACTGACTAAGCCCAGGCACTGGTGGCGGGTATCAAAGGCAGCATAACAACAAGCATGAACTAAACACAACTAACTGACGGCATGCCAGGGACATATCTCCCGTTCCACAGCCAGAGGCTAACCGCATTGCGCAGCAGCCCCCTGCTAGGTGATAAAACCATGGCAAACAATGACAGCAACGTCATAGCAATGCTCGGGGACACTAACTGCTACATCACATCAGGCTGTCAAGCAAAAGCAATCCTGAAGCGACTGATGAACAACACATCAAATTTGGCCAGAGTAATGCACCCGTAGCCTTTGGCATTTATCATCTGCGGAAGAGAATTCAATGTCATGCACCAATCCAGGAGGGCAACAGCTCACCAGAGACGGCATCAAGGTACAATTGACCAGTCCCAATCAGCAAGCAAAATCCTATCTGGAAACATGGACCACAAGGAGATCACATACATTGTCTCCATAATTTCGGCTTTACTCAGCGCACCAAGCGGCTGCAAATCACCAGAAACAACAAATACAGGCCACCGCGAACTGCCACGAGAAGAGCTGCAGAGAATATCATATGCCGAAGCTGAACTCAGTGGCATTAACGAAACCAAAGTCATCCCAATAAGTTCCCATGCAGGATCAAAAGGTGCACCGCAAAGCCCAGTAGAGCAGTGTGGAATAGCGTGGACAAGAGTCGGCAAATAGCCAGCAGAGAATGCAATCGCAGAAATAACGGCCATAGAACCACATGTACCAATTTTGCGAGTTATAGATCGTCTGCTGGGGCACATTGGCAGTCGACAACTGAATAGCATGCTGAAGAGCATGACATGGCTCGATTGGTTCACCCCCCCACAGGCTATCCGGCCACGTCCCGTGGAGGCTCGAGCCCAGTGGCTATCCAACCATTGACCATGGCACATAATGTTTTGGTTGATTCTGGTAGGGTAGGCCGATAGTCACGGTGGGCAATCCCCTCCAACTATTGTTCATATACAAGGTGGGGCCCCTAGATAGCTAAGTTGGTTTACAACGAGGGTAACTGGGTGTTTTGGTACTTGCAACTACTATAGTTACTGTATATAGATGGGTTTTTAATACACCAACATATAACTGCGGGCCCCACATTGTAGGGAGTCTTCATTTTCACTATTGCAGCAAACCCGCGATTGCCGAATATCAATTGCACAAACATTTCTTCTTGATAAAGCATGCCCAGGTATGGGGGATGTGCAATATCTCAAAAACAAAAAAAGTGAATTACCAAGTAGTAGAAGCTTGGAACTTTGCCAGATTAGCGCAACAAGGGGCCATAATGCCTGGTCTGTTTCAATATGTCTTACAAGGTGGTGCCCCATAGTTAGCTAAGTTGGTTTATAACTCCAATAACTATGGTTTTTGGTAAATATACCTATAGATCATGGGGGTTAAAAACCAACAAACATAACTATGGGGCACCACCTTGTCATGTCGGCTTGCAGTTCCCGGCTTGCAGCTTCCACCACCCACTGCGGATCCCTGCGAATCGGCAGCAGGTCATCACCACATCACGCCAGTTTTGGGGTCCCGTCGGTGGCCTAGGTGACCGGTCTGGAGGTCACCGGTCTGGAAGTCACCGGTTGTGGGGGAAAAAGCTTCAGAAAGCCCTGGGTTTTTGCAATGAGTTGTGGCTTGTCATATGTTGTCATAGTGTGGTTTGGCTTAAAGATGGCTGAAGAAGCTTCAGAAACACCGGTATTGATGGTATGTGCAGTGTCTTATGAGCATCATGTTGTCTAAGTTCAGCCAAAACATAGGATTATTGGCTCACAAGATGCAAGGTTTGGTGGCCCCTGAAGCTCCACATATAGTCCCTGTAAGGCCCTGCATTCTGAGATCTTTGCGTAGGAAATTCATGGCTGACCTCACATCCTATCTCCGAGTCAACTTGTAGATACCCTTATACTAGTGAGATAGTTGGATTTGCCAACTAAGGGCCATCACAAGAATAGACGACACATTCCCCAAATACTGGATTACAAAAAGTGTATATAAGGAGAACATAAGACCATCTTCAGCAAATCTAATATAAGGATATGTTTATATACAATAATGTTTATATTCAGTTGATTTCTCGATTCATCAACAAAGGCGAGCAGCCGCTAAGCATTGCCTCATGACCGGCTCCCGCTCACCAAGGTTTATGTGTCAACCCAGGTTGGTAACTATGGATAACCGGCGTACATCCCACACATCACAGGGTTCCAATATGGCTATTACAATGTTATTACTATAGGCATTACCCACTTAGCCTTCCGTGGGAGGTACATCCACGTAAAAAAGGGGGAAGAGTCTAAAAGATCATCAAGCTTCAGAATGTGGTATAAATAAGAAATAACAAAATTGCCTTTACGTTGTGGATTATTTTGCTTTGATCCTGCCGATGTGTGGGTACCAAACCCACTGTATATCATCATCATCATCATCATCGTCATCACAGTCATCGTCACCATCATCGTCATCGTCATCATCATCACCATCATCATCGTCGTCATCATCAAAAAACTTACTTTCCGGGGTAAATCATTTTGGGCCAATGACATGATATTCCGCGGCAACGTCCGCATCTTGTTTTTCCTGCTCGGGCCACCGTCTTGGAAGACTCTTGATGAGACGTTCGGAGGCGCCAAGGTGGCTGGTGCTACGTCTGGGGTTCACAGGCAGGGGACCACCATAGGACTGAGCACTCAAATGGCGGATGGGAACATTGGTACAATGGTACTTCTTGCCAAAATCTTTTCAGAAAAAGGTTGCTGCATATTCAGCTGGAGCAACTGAGCAATTCAGAAAAACACGACAACAAGAACCAACCGGCAGAAAATATGTTCAGAAATCAACAAGATGGAGCATCTGCCTGTCCTTTAGATATTGAATGACTATATAAGATGAAGAAAACATATCTCTCCACGGTCTGGTTGCGGCTCAAACGTGGATGTTCTGAGTGTTCTTCCAGGCATCCTGGTTGATACGCTTCATCATCGCCTTCAACTGCTTCATTGGTCCGCACCTCGAGGGTTTCTCCGGACATGCCGGGGGGAAAGCAAACTCCAAAAAAGATAGTAGTTTATAGTAATGGTTAATAAATGTTAATAAATGCTGATATGGTCCATAGTTGATGTTTATAATGCAGGAAAACCAATGCCATTTGGGGATGGTTTATCGAACCCATACAGGTGATCTCAGGGTGGTTTCATGACTTGTCTATCTTTTTTTGGTTTCCTTTACACCTACTGCATGCCCGGAAAAAACATGCAATGTCACATAAAACAAATGATGAAACATGGTGATGATGATGATGATGATTCCATGAGGTCAATTAGGGTATGACAAATGCGAAATGTGCTGGTTATATGCAATAACCAACAACAATCTTCTGATATCAGAGTAAACCTGGGCAAAATTATCACATGATTTTCCTGAAATGGGGGGGGCATAAAGTAGCCATGGTGGGGATATTTGGGGATCTATATCTATATATATATATATACATACTGATATAACCAGAACCAGCGAATAACTCTACCACCTTTTGGGGACCTGATCTGCGGCTTCGCCACTCATAGAACTCGCTGATGCCTCGGGGGAGTCGCTGTAGGATGCTGTAGCTGATGGGGGAGTCCTATCCAAAATTCAACCGCCCAACATGGGTCAAGGCAACTGTTGAAATTCAGGAAACAGCAACTGTATCATGATATGCGGGCACTTGTCATCTGGCTTTCGGTGAGAATATTGGACCCCAAAAACAGCTATCTAACAAGCCAACACGGTCAATGATCGGAGAATTCAATCTGTTCATCTGGGCGGCTCGTTCAATTTCACAATCTCAATATCCGGTCCAGGTGTCTTCCTGGTGAAAAGCCAACTTTGAACGAGGAAACTCTTGTCCTTTCTATTTTTTGCGGAAGATGAAGGGGCTGGTGAATCGTCAATTATTCATTATCATCAAGTATCATATACCTATTGGTTGGTTTTCATGGAATCATCAACCAGTGGAAAAACGTCAACCATCAGCTTGAATTCGCTTGAGGAACCACCAAAAATAGCTATTCCCTAGAGATTCCGTATGGGTTCCCCAAGATTCCCGGATTTTCCATTGAACATTCATGACAATTCCACAAAACCCGCAACCAAGGTGCCATCTTTCAGCATGGCTCCCATGGCAGGATCCCACAAAACACAATTTGTCAGCTGATCCGCCAAGAGATCGATGATCTCTGGGACCGGCGTGCCTGGAGGAAGTTGTGATGTGTATCTTGGAGGGATATCTTGGAGGGATATCATGTGTGTGTACACATGGTGGTGATATGTACATATTTGTCAAATAAATATCCATATGAATTCAAATATCTGTGCCATAAAACATCTGTGGTTGTCAAATATTGCCAGCTATCAGCTATTTCCCGTAGCATTTGAACCTGCAAACAACGGGGGCCTACATGTAGATGTTCCTTTTAAATATGTCAAGGTAAAATTGACATAAAGCTTCATAAAACAAAAAGTACTTGAATGATCTTGAATGTTTGTTGCCGTGGATTGAACTGTGGATGTTTCCTTGGAAGGCTTCGGTTTTGCAAATGTGTGCATTCAATTCCAAGTTTACGAAGATTGGATACAATACATCACGGGCTGGATATAACCACATCAAACAGCCTACGCCCACAAAAATACTTGACATGGAAGTTAACCATGAACACGTTCACCAGGAAACATGAATTCTTGGCCATCATTGGCCATCCAGTTGTTCTATCCAGGTCTCAAACTACATTCTTGGGTCGTGCTCTTCTCGGATCAGTGAATGGTTTCACCTTACAGAGACACACACAAACACTCAACATGGCATTAAATGTACACAATGTCAAACCATATATATATATATATATTTGAAACCCCTACTGACCCAGCTTTGAAGCTTCTGTTTCCATTATGCCCATTCCCCACTTGTTGGGGGTTCTTAGGTGCTTACAGTAAAGCCACCCTAATTATGTTGGTTGGTCCACCCATCACCTCACCATGTTCTGAGCCCTAGCGCCTGGTAGAATCTTGTTACCGGTCAAATTCACCTGGCACCAACCGCAACTGATGGATTAGGGCAAACACTTGGCTAGGCCGATAGGTGCAACCACTATTTAAGGATCCATGTAAGGATCCACTTAAGCGTTTGTCATGGTCTGAAAAAAACAACGTGTACCACCAGAAAATGAGAAAAAAAACACGGGTACCCCAAGATTTGATGACTCATCCTGCTATACAATACCAACAAGCATGTTCAGTTTAATTGTTCGGGGTGAACACCTCTATATAATAACACCCTTTACAACCTCATTTATGTTTCATTCCTTCTTTACATATATATATATATTTATATTGTTATAAAAATGCTATAATATATTTCCAATCAACATCATAAATCCAATGTTGACCAAGTTATGTGCATCAACTTCGCCATTGTTTAGGGGTCTCACCTTGCAAATAGTTGTTCAGGATCGTCAGCCGATGGACCAACATCAAACCCCCACAAATGCCAAATGTGGAAAATATATGAACATATATAAACATCATACAGTATGCCATAGAAGGAGCACATGGCATGAGCAACATCAAACTGATTCCAAGTGGTTGGTCAGCATATCACATGGTCATACCACCAAGTTGTGAATGGAATCATCCCACTCGAGACACTTCTCACCCTCAGACATCAAACTCGAATTCGATCAAGCGACGTACACATCGCAGTTGGGTGGTTGCATCTTTGACTCCACTTCCTGGACAAATGAGGAGGGCAAAGGTTGACTTCTCCAAAGCTGGTTGGCAACAGCAGCCCAGCAACCCCTTCCCCACTATTAAACACCCATGTTTGGGTCCCTTATGCAGGAATTCATCATTCCAGTGTCGTGAGGTCTTTCTAATTCATCATAAATCATATTCATCATGTTCCTATCACTTCCCATCTACAGAATCCATCCCAGTCATGTTACCCTCTGGTAATTCAACAAAGCTATGGAAAACATGGTAATTTATAGTTGATTTACCCATAAAGAAATGTGATTTTCCATGGTTTTTTTGTATGTTTACCGGAGGGTAAATGGAGGGTATATCCATCATTAAATGGTGATTTTCCATATGTCAAATTAACAGAGGGTAGATCCATCCCAATCATCCCCATCATCCCATCATCCCATGCCGCCCATCCTTCAAGGCTGTGAGCAACTGACTTCTGGCCGGTTCCATGCACTTGGTGTGGAAGGCCCCAGAGGTCCTTAGTGCAGGGCGGCCCCCGGAGGTGTAGAAAGAACAATCTGATCCGAATGGTGTTTATCTACAAAGGCCATAAAATATCATAACATGCCATAAGATAGATAGATAGATAGAAAGATAGATAGATAGCTAGATAGATAGATAGATAGCTAGATAGATAGATAGATAGATAAGAGATATAGTTGCTTGTATTCCATTTTCGCAAACATATAGAAACATGCACGTAGGAAACCAATGAGTTTTGATATCTTTCGGTCATCGCTATGAATTCATCGTGCCATTTGCCACGGCTATGGCACGAATTACCCTTTAGGGTACACGGATGCCAAGTGTGCACAGAAAATAGCTGCGATGAAACCTGCAATAAGTGCTTTCCTGTTGGTTTTTGGTTTGTATATACTGTATATATATATGTGTGTGTGTATGTATATATATATATATCTCTCTCTCACCACCTTTATCACCACTTTTAGCAACAAATTGACTCCAGCAAGCTAAGATAGATATTGGACAGTCAACCATTGATCATTTCCTGGGGAAAGCCTATGGATTTCCATAGCTCTGGAAACACCGGGAAGTCGTCACAATCCATCCCAGAGGCTTCAGAGCCTTCGCCTGAAGGCACCCTTGAGTATCACCAGCCTGCCCGACTTGGTTGTAGAATCCCTTCCCCATAATACCATGGATTGTAGGGGATAAACATTCATATTCGGGACCATTTGGGACCATTTGGGACCATAGAATGGGGGTCTTTAGCAATGGGAAGATCATCTGCCATAGCATTAAAAGGCTGCTGGAATTCATCAAATGGGAACATAATTCCAGGGAAAGCTAGAAATTTACATTTAACTGTGATATTCACTAAGGAATTGGGCGATGTTACTAGGGAAAATATGGCGGTTTAACTCTGGTTATCGAACAGTTTGCTATGAAAGACCATGATAATTATTTAATAGGCAAAAATAGATCATCTACATACAAACTCAAACGGGCAATTGATGCCATAGCTAGGTTGGGCTGCCAAAGGGTAGAAAACAACATCTGAAAGCACCCAGTTACATGTTTTCCTCCTTGGTATGGGGTTCTGTCAAACTCGGGGAATCCAGGCGCCCATCAAATTGGGCATCTTTTCAATCATAGTGCATCCTATTCAGGGTAATTCTGGCTCATACCCACGTGACAACTTGTAGATTTATCGTTTTTGATCAAAACTGGTTCTTGGTTACTCTTTCCAGGTTGGTAGAGGAAAAAACAAAGATGTTAACAATGCTCAACAAACAACTGTAGTTAGGGTACCAATTTTGGAGCCACATATCTTGGTCATGTTTCGTATGCACATATCCCAGGTCGCGGTCCCCAGCAGGGCCTTTTTCAGCAGCTTCTCCACAGAACTGGCGCTGCCTGCACCTTGGAGGACTCAGCCAACTCTATCGGCCCATCATTTATAAAAATAGAGGCACCTGCAAGTGCGGCAAAGAAAAAACAACATGAAACTATGGATTTTGGGGTGGGAATCATGTTTTTTTTGGTGAACCACCAAACTAGAAATGCATCTAGAATTGTTCCAACGCTGTGCGTTGAAACATGAAAAACAACACTGGAAAAACATATAATTATATATATAATATGAAATACATTGAAATACTATGAAAAATGTGACGATCATATGTATCATTCATCATGATGTCCCTTCCAGTAAACTAGCCAAAACGCAAAAATTGTCACTTAACAAGCTCACTCTGCCTAAATCCCGCAAAAAATCCATGAGTGCGCGAATAGCTCAGCCACTATCAAGAAACTCAAAAAGTTATAACACCAATCTCCATTGGTTTCAATGATCCTATCCCTCAATATGAAAAACATCCGGCTGTCTCCCAACTCTCCAAAGGGCAGGAGAAGCCGTTGGGGAACAGGAAATTGGCGACCTCGAGTGCGAAAAAAACGGTGGCATGACTACCAAATTACCTACGGATAACAGGTATCATGTTTACTGTTTACCAACCAAATGGGTTTAGCCATTTAGAAAACATGAGAAAACTCCCACCCCAGGGTCTCAAATCATCGTTGGGGATGTGAGTTCAACTCCGGGGGGGCGACAATATCTCCCAATGACAACTGATATAATCTCCAACAAATACAGTACTTGAACGTTTAAAAAGATGTTCAAAAACTCCAGGGAGGATATGTTTCACCAACCTCTGCTTATGATGTTTAATGGATACTGCTTTTGAATTCAGTGGGCATGAATGAATTTAGAATAGATTTTAGTACGTGTATGTACTGTTAACTGGAGTTAAAAATCAAAAAACACAACATACCTGGAGGTCAAAACCAAACAGTTTTGCATTGAACGGGTGGAGTGGTTGTTTTTCACTCGCCTTTACCTTAGCTGAACTCTTCGAGAAGGCGATGAATGTTCAATTCGGACATTTGCCAACCCCTGGGATTTAACCAACTACAATGGGTGTAACATGTGATATAGCAAAACTACTTAATTCACTTTAATCTAGAAATACCACTGAATTCCATTGAAGTTGAAACCCCATAGAATCAATTGTGGAAATCCATTAGAAGTCATTAACATAATTTCTTTACATCCACTGATCCGCACCTGGCACACGTCATCAGGACCCGACCTGGCGAACCAATCTGAAGGCTTCCACCCCGACAAAACGCATGACGAGTCAAAAACGAACATGGTGAATGCATCAACAAAACATGCGATTTAATATGATTTAATCATATACTGAAGTATATACATGTGATTTTATATAACTATATAGATATAACTAGATATAATTAGATAATATATCATGGGCCATCTGCACAGTATACACCCCACAGTCACCCACCAATGTTTGGTCGCAATTTCGAGCTAGCAGGATAGAACCAACAGTAGAAACGATCTGGGTTTAAGATGGTTTGATGAACACAGTACTGCCAAGAGTGGTAGCCTCTAAGAACAACACAATGTGACAATCAATCTCACAAACATCTCTGGTTGGTGGTTTGAACCCCTCTGAATAATATGAAAGTCAGTTTGGATGATTATTCCCAATATAAGGAAAGTATAGGAAAGTCATAAGAGCCATGTTCCAAACCACCAACCAGATCTAAGCTTACTGGATGTCTTGGGTTTCGTTTGATCTGCGTTTCAACCGTCCCCAGGCCGTCGCATCGCCTGCACTCGGCGCAAAGCTTGTCTAAGACCTCCTTGGCGAGGCCTGCCACTGAAATCATCTTCTGCGGGGAGGCCTCGCGGTGTTCCCGGCGATGATATATGGAGGTGACCATCTAGTCATGGGGGTACCCCAAAATGGATGATTTATAATGGAACATCGTGGACCATCCATCTATAAATGGAAACCTCCATATGTTTTGGGGAGCTAAAAAGAAACCTTCAAAAAAGGTGTGAGTATAGTTACAGTTCAGTAGGGCTAGACTTGACAATTTAGAGGGAGTTCTGGGTTTATTTTAAATTTCTTCAAAGGATAACTTCCCCTATCTGGGAAGAACCCGAATCACAGTCGAAATCATAGCTGGAATACAGCGGGTGGCCTGGGATTTTATAGCTTTAAATTTTGGGCTCGCAAGCTGCTGCCTGTGGTTTTGAACTGTCCTCCTTCAATTTCAAGTTGACCATGAAAAACCATCATTTTCACGGGCTATTGTCCCCTTTTTGATGTTCATTCCCGGGCTCGCTTTGGAGTCCCATGGTTGGTTTTCCAGCGACTGAAAACATGGGCCAAAAACGGAACCCACGAGTCTCATCGAACGCTCCCTTCTCTTGCTGAGTTTTCCCGCCTATTGTGACGTCACTTTCTGACTTTCCATGGTTTCTTTTGCACGATTTTTACGGGACTTGTGATTCAAACTGCCTTCAAGAAGCTCTTGTGAAACACCGTATTTTGAATGGCATATCAAAATTTCCTCCGCAAAGAACCAGCTGGAAGGTCATGATCTTCCAGAATGTAGATTCAAAATTCTAGATTTGTATAATGGGGATCACCAAGTTTGGGTGGTTGATTGACGAATGTACATGGTTAATCTAATGTTAAAGTTCAAGCAATCTGCTTGATATCAGTAAATAAGTGTGAATGACACTGATGTTTACTGGTAATCAAGCAGAGTTAACCCATGAAATTCCAATCATATCCCATGGTTACAAATCGAGGCCCCTTAGTTATTGTAAGTTGCTTTAAACATCCATTAATTAATTATATAGATAGTTATATCCCCCCAAAAAAATAAAGCACTGGTTGAGCATAGTTAACCAAGTTATGTGCGTCAATTTTGCTCTTTGCTTTTTTATTATATATATACATATACATTACCACAGTGATAGGGCTTGTGTATCCCGACTTATGGGAGTCAAAATCCCATGATACCATGGTTACGCCAATTAAATCCAATTATAATAACCCCAACTGCACCCCCAAGTTAGTAGATTGTTTATCTATAATTGACCCATATTCAATTATAACATTGTATACCTATATCACTAAACTGGGATATGTGGTTATATATATATATATATATCCAACCAGCGTGCCCTTCAGCCCCCTCGGCCCCGGCGCCTCGGCAGCTTGCTGCATGGCTTCGCCACGGAACTTCACCAAGCGCAGCCCTGTCTCGAAGTCGAAGACACCCGCCACGGTCCTAGGTTTATCTAGTGAATGGTGTATGTATATAATAATATAATATATATATATGCCTTGAGAACCAAACCCCGCAGAAATCTTAGGGCTTGAAAAATGCCCGAGCTTTTGGGGTTTTGGTTCTCCAGGTATATATATATATATATCTGTGTGTGTGTGTGGGGTGTGTGTAATGGGAAAATAAAGGGAACTTATTACTAGATGTATATTTGATGGCCATCTAATGGGAATGTTGCTTGACCGAAGGCCCAACCACTTTGCGCCGCGCAAGCGCTTTTCAGCCTCAACATCTCCGTGTCTTTTTGCTTATCTTTTGAATCCTTCATGATGTTCATGTTACTGCTGCCTCGTGAAGCTTCGATGAAGCTGGTTCCCAATGGAGTGGTACTCTTCCATACTCTTCCAACAAGCGAAGATCCAAGTGCTGTAGCCTGCCTGGGAACGGACGCAAGCCCAGCAGGCTCGCCTAGATCCCACATAGGACCACCAACGACTGCAGTACAGCCACAACGTGCCTTGCTGACGGCTGCGGGGTAAGCCTCTCCGACGCTGTGCAATGCGATTGGCGGCCAGGCCGTCATAGAAGTCCGAGGAGTTTTTCTGTTCAACAGGGGTTCACAAAAATGGTGGCATACCTTCGGGTCACATGTGGCCAAATGTCAATCGGACCACACACACCCCGTGTTTTTGAGATGAACCACCTAAAGATCCAAAATATCTTTGCCATCTATCTAATGGCCAGTTGGTGGTTTTATCCCTGGAATTTATTTTAGTCATTGGAACTCATGTTCCCAACAAAAAATGCCAGGTAGGAACATTCACATCCGAGATATGTTGCTTCATCTCCATCTGAACATCGGCCAAGAGACCTTAAGGCAGCCATAGGACTGGCAAAGCTCACTTTATACAGCAACCCCATCTAAAGAGTTCGATTAATATTTACCAGAACAGGGGTTGGCAAATGTCCCTATGTGTACCAGTAGTACCGCACAAGGCGGTGGCGGAAGTTTCAAAAATAGGAAACCTATAGGAAAGGTTGGTTGTTGTGAATCACGGATGGCAGAGCGAAGCCACTGATGGATCGAAAGGTGATTGATGTCTCCTCTCTTTCTCCCTCTTTCTCTGACTATCTACCTACCTACCTATCTACCTATGATTCTTTCGATCGATCTATCTATCTATCTGTCTGTCTATCTATCTATCGATCTATCTATCTACCTATCTTTCTATCTATCTATCTATGCATCTATCGATCGATCGATCAATCGATCGATCGATCTATCTGTCTGTCTGTCTATCTAACTATCTATCTATCTATCCATCTATCCATCTTTCTATCCACCTATCTATCCATCTATCCATCTATCCATCAATCCATCCATCCATCTATCCATCTATCCATCTATCCATCTATCCATCTATCCATCTATCCATCTATCCACCTATCCATCTATCCATCTATCCATCTATCCATCTATCTATCTATCTAGCTATCTATCTATCGATCTATCTATCTATCTATCTAGCTAGCTATCTATCTATCTATCTATCCCTTTCATCTGTCTATCTGTCTAGCTGTCTACCTGTCAAGCTATCTATCTATCTATCTATCTATCTATCTGTCTACCTGTCTATCTGTGGTGCAGTGTCATTCAGTGTAATGTAGTGTAGTGTAAAGTAGTGTGGTGTAGTGGAGTGTGGCGGAATGTAGTGTAGTGTAGTGTAGTGTAATGTAGGGTAATTTTGTGTAGTGGAGTGTAGTGGAGTGTAGTTGTGTAGTTGTGTAGTTGTAGTTATAGTGTAATGGAGTGTAGTGTAGTGTAAGGTAGTGAAGTGTAGTGGAAGATAGTGTAGTATAGTGTAATGTAGTGTAGTGTAGTGTAATGTGATGTAGTGTAGTGTAGTGTAGAGGAGTGTAGTGTAGTGTAATGTAGAGTAGTGTAGTGAAGCAAAGCGACATCTGAACCTCCAAAAGTGGTCCGAACCCCGCGTGTTTTTAACAGTTTGACTTCCAAATGTGCTTTGCGCCACAACGGCGTGCACTTTTTCGAGATCTGAACTTCCAAAAGTGGCGCGAACATGTAGTGTTTTGTTCATGTTCACTTCGAAATGTGCTTCGCGCCACCACGGCGTGCACTTTTTCGAGATCTGAACTTCCAAAAGTGGCGCGAACATGTAGTGTTTTGTTCATGTTCACTTCGAAATGTGCTTCGCGCCACCACGGCGTGCACTTTTTCGAGATCTGAACTTCCAAAAGTGGCGCGAACATGTAGTGTTTTGTTCATGTTCACTTCGAAATGTGCTTCGCGCCACAACGGCGTCCACTTTTTCGACATCTCAACTTCCAAAAGTGGTCCGAGAATGGTGTGTTTTGTACATTTTGACTTTGAAATGTGCTTCGCGCCACAACGGCGTGCACTTCTTCGACATCGCAACTGCCAAATGTGGTCCGGACCTGGTGTGCTTTGTACATTTTGACTTCGATGCTTCGCGCGACAACGGCGTGCACTTTTTCGAAATTTCAACTGCCAAAAGTGGTCCGGGCCTGGTGTGTTTTGTACATTTTGACTTGCATAAATGTGCTTCGCGCCACAACGGCGTGCAATTTTTCATCTCTCATCTGGCCAGCTGGCTCCGCACCCGCCGCTTTAGCGAGCCTACTTTTCGACCCTCCGGAGCCACAAATCATTGGAAAAACACAGTGAATCGCGACTTTCCTACCTTTTCGCGCAGCTGCATCTGCTTTCTTCTGACTCTTTCTCTTCTACTCTTCTTTCTTCTAATCTTTCTCTTCTCTCTGCCTCTTCCCTTCTCTGCTTTTCATCTGTCCATATTGTCGGAAGTTTGACTTCTAAACTTCCTTCGATAAACAAATGATCATATGTCCTAATTGGACACCACCCAACTATTAGAAATTGTTCTCTAAGAAATGTTCATTCTGCAACAAATACTTGTCCACTTAATTAATGTTCAAAATCCACAAAACGGGACATTCACCAACCCCTGCAAAACCCTGGAGATCATGTACATATTTCAACCAACTTAGCGAAGGTTTGGGAGGCACTTCCTGCGCTGTACGGGCTTCACTCGGTTTGGGTCGACTCTGCGGCTGAACCTCTTTGAGTGTCTTGCACTGGTATAATCTGGTATATGGGGTCATACGGTACGGACATCAAAGCATCATTAGGGATTCCTTACGGACAGTTTGTATAGTATACAGTATACAAAATAACCAACTGGAGGTTTCCTAAGTCAGGGGGGTACCTCCAATCATCCAAGTCATGGATGACCATGACTTCGTATTGAAATATCCATGGACCTGGGGATTCCCCATGACTTCAGACACTCCCAACTTAGCCCAGGTGGGGGCCCTTTCTGCTTCGCAGGCCATGTTTTGGACCAGGAAACAGGGCCGTGTACTCGCCCAAGCTCAACCCCGCGACAGCCCGGAAGTTCTCTGCCGCCTTGGGATTCTCCTGGCGCGGGGAGGACCCGTCGCTTCTCACCAATTGGTTTTGGGATTTAGCAACAAAAACTGTCCCCATGTGGTTCATGGCAGGTTTCTGGAGGATGTAAAGTTATATAATGGATATATTAATGGGGTTTATATTATAAACATCTATAAACATGTATTAACCATTATAAGCCAACTTGGAACTGATCATGTGGTAAATCCATCACTAAACCATCCTCAATTAGAGGCTCAATGTTGGGTTACCCCTATGACTGGGATATTTATTGTGACCCCCAGTCATGTTTGGTTGTGATATGTTGTGATGGGATCGTTCCACCTCTGACTTTAGTGCTTTGTGACAGCGGTAGAGACCACCAGCTACGCTTGAAATCACCGTGCGGGTTTTGAGCCATGCCAGAATCTTTCCAGGAAGGGAATGAATATAGACATCATGGGCAACCACTAGCATAGTAAAAATAAACCAGGTTCCAAACATAACAAAGCATGATGTAAACAGGACAAATCAGGAAAACGTTCATAGTCTCTACCAGGATTGACAAGTGGTCCCGATCTATGACAGAAAGCACCCCGCAAATATACCATAATATACCTAATAATAATACCCAGCCAAGATTTGCAAAGCATTTTTGGTTACATGATCGCCCAGAGTAGTGTGCATTTGTCTTAACATACTCATATGTATGTAAATGAACAAACCTGTGGCGGGGTCCAGTTCTTTTGAGTGCAAGTCGCGCGAGCGGCCACAACCGTCCTTCTTTAATAACTCAAAGGCTGCGAGGCCACCAATGTACATAGCAGGCTGGCAGTATTTGGTCCTCAGCGTTGGCGGTGCAGTTGGGGTGAAAAATCGGCATCTATATTGGATTTTAACTTCCTTGAAGATGGGATATCACCCCTAGAACTATGGCATACAGTAACCCAAGTGCCCTGTACTATAGAGACTCCCAAACACAATCAAATAGAACTGGGGACGATTAGCGTCCCTATCACATAGGTTGCCCGTTGGTAGTTTAACTTGGTAACAACTGACGGGTAGACCCAAGACAAAAAAACACCAATTACAACGCATACGATATATTCATTTCTAGTTGGATTGTCGATTTTATCCTTCGTTGTCCATGTTGTATCCGTATTTTCTCGCATTTTTAGTTATGACTTGTCTTAAGTTGGATGGTTAATCTCCATTGAATCACCATTTGTGATTCTTTTACTCACGTTTGTTATTTTTTTTCCTCCCATGCTTTGGTGCTGAACATGAGCGCTCCCCTCAGAAGGCCAGGTGGCTGCTCCAGCTGCTCTTCAGGGCCTTCGAGGCATAATTTCAAGATGTCGTAACCTCAGAACGGTTTCCAGCCCGGCGGCAGCCAATTCTTGGAGATTTAACCTGTTGATTTAACCATCAAACATGGTAAGTTATCCAGCAAGAAATGGTGGTTTAACCCAAAAAATAGGTGTTTAACCATCAAACATCCTTTAAAAAGAAAGGACGCACATGGACATTTAACAATTTTCGAAGTTAAGTATTTCAATGGAATGATAGAGTGGCTTTTAAAGTGGCCCTCAAAGCCTCCAGTATAGGGGGTTGTCGTCAATGACTTATGGGGATGAAATGGAATTCATATGTTAGAATCAAGTCTGGTTTATTTATATAAATCAGGGATCCTGACGTATAAAAATACTTGTTTTAATTTTAATTCTACTATATAATTCTCAGAACCTATTCCATTTTTGATATTTAATTCTCAGAACCTACCCAATGTTTTTTCTAGAACAAGTTATTGTTTGCTTCTCGGTAAAATAAAATATCGTTTTGATGGAACAAGGTATCATATAAGTAAGGCCAAAAGTTGTTTTGAACCGTGTTGAAACTTGAACCGTAATTGAAGTATTGACTACCGGACTATGCCAACATCTCTAGTAGACTTTCTTGACTTCTATGGGACTCTATTTTCTTGCTCATCTTGAAAAAAGACAATCATTTCATGAGGTTATAAACCAGACAGGAAGGAACCGTAGGAACCGTTTCTTCCTATTTGGGAAAAAACAGGTAGAAACCGTTTCTACCGTTGAGCTCTATTAAGCTTTAAAAACGCAACAGATTAGAACCCGATTGAAACCGTTTCTGGAACCTGTTTGTAACCATAACAGGTAGAAACCGTCGGAACCGTTTCTACCTGTTTTGGTTGGAAACAGCATGAAACAGCTAGAAACCGTCCGAAAAGTTTCTACCTGCTTTGAAAACACGCATAACTTTTGACATTATGGTAGAATGGTAAAGGCTTCGAGGTTACTTAAAATGGGATATCAACTGTTGAATATGGCATGGTGCAATGCTAAAATTGTAAGTTAAGAGTGTTGAATTGAAAACTGTAAAGCAAAAAGTGAATATATAACTTAGTTACACATTTTTACTTGAAACTTTTCAGTTTTCTTAGTTGCCATGTAACTTTATATATATATATATGTTTTGAAATGAGCGACATGTCACTAAGTATGTTTTTAATGTAAAATGCCTGTACTAGTAGGCTATTCGCCTAACCCGTTAATTAACCAACATATGTTTATCTCGTCCAAGGATTGATCCTTGAAACCACTTAAAAATCCCAATAATTGGATCGCTGTTCACTTGGCTGTGCTGTGCCAAATCAGTTCATCTCTAGTTAAATCTAATCTTTCATCATTGTTCCAAACAGTCGCACCATCAAAGGCGCATGTATAGTGGCCTCTGTATATCTTCCCCAGGTGCGTAGCCCAGGCTTCCAATTTGGAGGCGGACTGCACCAACGGAAAAGAGGAATAGCCAACAAAACCACCGTCACAGGGAAAAACCTTCTTGGAAGGGAAAAAACCCTGCGCCGAAACAAGGGAGGACGGACGTATGCCGGCGAATCCATGCCCCCCAGCAAAAAAGGATAGGCCGCGTCAGCCGTGGAGGACGAAAGCCATCCGAAACATGCAAAATAAAGGATGGCTAATCTCAAAAAAAACAAAGCCTTAGCGCCGTAAGCTTCGAGTAGAGAAAAGCCAAGAAAAAACAGGTGCAGGAAAATCAGCTTCAACCCCTGTACAAGCACAGCCCTCACTCAGCTCAGCACAAGGTGGCCAGAAGTCAAGATGCCAAGACCAAAGCAGCTGCGGTCGCCGCACTGGAAGGGACTTCCGCCAGAGCAGCATCGGCTCGACGCTGCAAGGCAGCCCTTCCGCGAAAGCGTCGCACCAAAACGGAAGCCTCTTGAAGGAACTCAGCGAAGAAGGCCGCCGGATCGCCCTGTTCCCGCGCCGCCGCAGCCCGCACGATGCCTTTCAACACCTGGGCAGCAGCAGGCGCCCATGTACCGGTGGTTTCGGCCACCAGCCACCAGCGGTATGAAGGAGAGCCCTTGCTGCTGGCAGAGGGATGCTGTGTCCAGGTGGGACATCTTCACGGCCGAATAGGCTGTCGCTGCAGCACCACCTTGTCTGCCGGCTTCCTCTAAGCTTGCCTGCCGCTGAAAGCCAGTCACGGCCAAATCAAACGCAGTAGGCTTGCCAGAGAAAGTGGGGACAAAGATGTCTGCAGGTCGCCGGCGACCCACCCCCGTGTCTTCTGGTTGCTGTGGGAGGAGGAGGCCCGGGCGCTCCTTTTCCGGGTGGAGGCCAGCTCGGTCGGCCCAGGCGCAGACCAAGTCACGGAGGGCATGGTGCCGCTGGGTTCTCTCACTCCCTGCGATGCAAACACCAGCATGCAGAGACAAGGAATCAAGCACCCCATCACACCGAGGGCACCATCCGTCGGCAGCAGCGTCGGGAACACCAAGTCGGTGCCGCAATTCAGCAATGAACACGGCTGGCTCCATACGCTTGCGGCCCACTGGGATGGCAGCAAGGAAGGCGCGACCACCCGGCTGAGCTTCGGACAGCAGCAAAGCCTTTTGTGTGGGAGAAGCCCGGTCAAGCTGCAGGTTCCATGCTGCCAGGTCCATCTGCCCAACCAAAGTTTTCTGGCGCTGCGCTAAGACAGCGTCCACGGTCATGGGGACAGGGATGGACTGGTTGTAAGCTCCCAAGGCGGCCAGGACCAGGGGGGATGCAGAGGCCACCCCGATGTGCGCATCCACCGCGGAGCACCGGGCTGCACTGCCGCCAACCGAGGCCAGGTAGGCCGCAGCCGCGTCCAGAGACGTGGAGCGGAGACCCAGACCCGCTTGCGACAGCCCCCGGGTTGCCTGCAGCCACTGGGTTTGTTCCAATGTGCAACCCGGTGAAGCTGCTGAAGCACGTGCGAACCAGATCGTCAAAGTGCTCCAAGGCAGCTTGTTGAGGCTGCGGGGGGTTGCATCTCATGCTGTGAAGCAGCCTGGTGTGACCAGCGCAAGCCCGTAGGAGGCGTAAGGCCACCTGCGGGTCTTCCAACTCAGCAATTGCGTCCAGAAGAGCGGCGGCCTTGCTGACCCGCTGTTCTGTGTGCGCTGCCACGAAGTCGTCGGCACCAATGGCCGCACCAAGGAACTCAAAGTTGTGGAGCACCCGCTCGCCACCACACTCGCCCCAGAGCACAGGCGACGGCAAAGCCGCCGATAGGTCCGCAGCGGTGGCCGGACCAGGCACAACCACCTCGCACTTGGACAGGTTGAGGCGTAGGCCGATACCAGCAGCCCGCCGCTCGATGTGCTTCAAAGCCGCCCCAACGGCAGCGACATCCCCAGCGACGACGCCATCGTCCAAGTAGAACATGGCAATGTCAAGGGGGCCAGCACGGAGTTCAGCCGCCAGGGGGTGCAAGGCCGCGGAGAACAGCAGCGGACCCAGGGGATCACTTTGTTGAACACCAGCGGCGGATTGCAACGCCGAACTGCCAAACTGCAAGGTGGAGGGCCCACCATAGCACCAGTTCACCCACCTAGCCAGGGTGGGGAAATGGGCGCAGGCAGCGCTGAGCACCTCTTGCCTAGACACGGTGTTAAAGGCATTGGCAAAGTCCAGCTTAACCAGAACCTTGTCCGCAGAACCGGCATGGCGACGCTGCCAATCTCGAACACAGTGTACTGCCACTTCAGAGCCCGAAGGCACAGCCACCCCAAGCTGAACGGGGAAGAACACAGAGCGGGCATCATCGCGCACAAGCTCCATGAGGCATTTCCCTGTCAGCCGCCGCAGCACCTCGCCAATGGCGATAGGGCGGACACCACCTTGCGGCTTAGGGATGGCCACCAAGTTGGCCCCGGCAACAAGGGGGGCAGCAGCGCTGTGGGCGCTCCCCGAAGCCAACAAGGTGACAACGCCAGCAAGCTGTTCCAGGAGGCTGTCACGGCCACCAGGCCAGCACGCCTCTCGAAGGTGCTGGACTCGGAGTCCTGAAGGTCCAGGGGCCGTGGCGGCCGGGAAGCTTCGCAACGCTTTAGCCACAGCGTCGGGAACCAGTTCAGGGCTGGGCGGTAGCTCATGCACAGGGGGCGCCACAGGGTCAGGCTGGACTGGGTGCAAGGCTTGGAGAGCAGCTACTGTGCCCGAGTTCTCAGGAGCAAGGCCTTCTGCAAGTAAGGCTCCACAGGCTTTGCCCTCGAACCCCTCACGGGCAAGACTGGTAGCAAGGTCACGTCGCTCCGCAGCAGTGAGGGTACGGTGGCGAGTAGAAGGCCGACCGCGGCTTTCCCACAACAGGAGCCGTTCTCCATGTTTATCTTCATTCGAATCATGTCCATGGGTATGTTACGGCATATTCAAAAGTGAAGTTCTCATGACTCTTGTGGAAATAATGATCTCAGTAAAGCTTTATCAGTTATCAAAGCAAAACAATCACTAGTTTTCAGCGCCTAACTATCTAGCTGCCTATCTGAATCTGCTTCACTAAAAAGTATGACTATAAGTATAAGACTATACAGATCAATGCAGCACAGCCTCCCATCATGTCCTAGTGACGGTATGCAGTATGCTGGTACATATTGTTTCATATAACGAGGGTAATGCAACCCGCAAAACCATTCTATCCGAATATCCACACAGTTTTGTGGCAAACAGCTCACGGCATAACTGTATATAGAACAGTATGCCGTAAATGATTATCTTCAGTATGTGGCCGATGTTGGTGGCAAATTGGAAAAAGTTATGTACTTGCAGCTTATTTAGAATTTAAGATGTTATTGTTTACTACTCTGAAGTTTAACATCAACCTGATTCGTATACACACTTAAAACATCTTAAAACCCCTGCAACGTATCGTACTAGGATCACTGGACCAAACACAGTGTTCCACCAAAACCATCCAAAACACAGTTTCAATTATAGAATGCACTTGGAAACAAGAAATACATATACCCCCCGAGTCCAACATCAAAGTTTGGTTGACCTCTAAATAAAAAACCGACCCATACCAAGCAGTACAGTTGATAAATTGCTGTGTTGGCAAATATGCCATGTCTTGCTGGATTTTTGGCAGATATAGGTTCTGAAAAAGTAATTTGGGATAAGCATCAGGTTCTGAACATGCCCTTTGTGGCAAAATGCCCACAAGTAAATACACCAGACTTGGTTCTACTTCATATGATTTATATAATGGGGTTGGGCAAGACTTGGGACTTACCATTCAGTAAATTGACAGAAGGATATGGACAATATTGTTCTTACATGTGCATTTTTTGCTTGCAGTCTGTATGTAAAATGTCTTGAACAATGTAAGTATGTGAATTCCTCCTGGGATTAAGCCAAAGCATTGACAAAATGCAAATCCGAAACAAAAGTCACTTGAGTCCCTATATATTGTCGATGGTTATCAGCTATATCTCCATAAATCTCCGTGAAGTCACCATGTGTTGATGCTTCACTATATGACTATATATATATAGATTCCCCATAGATTCCCTATCATTTCCCTAGTAACTTACCATAGGTATAACATGTTACAACATAGTTCTCCCGGTGATCGTTTTCCGTTTTATCCCTCATAGTTATCACCATGACTCACCAACCCAGTGGTTAAAAACTTCAGCAAATCCCAGATACCCAGAATCTTCTGCGCCGTGCTCAGCATCTCCTTGACACTCGGCATATCCTTCACTTCGGCTAACATCTTCACCTTAGGGCTGAGATTAGGATTTGACCAGCAAACATGGGTGATTTCATGGAATTGTCAAAGGATTTAACTTGATTTAGCCAACCAAGATTGTGATTTAATATGATTTTTTCATGAAACTTGATCAGGCCCAGCCGTCGGTGATTTACCTTGGGATTTTTCACGACAAACATGGGGATTTGACCAAATGTCTAGGCGGGGCAGGACAAAAACAAGGCCGCTTTTGAACCACTCAATGGGTTGATCTAAAAAAACTGGCTTCACCAGTGTTCTTACCTCTTTATTTTTGTCCCAAATCACATAAACAATCTGAGTTAGAAAATGGCAGTTTAAGGGATCCAATGCTTGGCCTCCTTTCTCCATGGACGTTACGCCCCCCTTGAAACTCATTTGGATTGTTTCACAAGCGAATGTGAGCGTACTGAAACCTGCATTCGAGTCGTGCATAGAGCACCAAACTTGGCGCCGTTGCGCATAGCCTCATGATGTGCAGCACGCCTCCCTTGGAGGAAATTTGTGAAAGTTTGATTTTGGGATCCAAACGTGCACAACCAAGTTCTTGTGTATTAAATAGATATAGATAGATAGATAGTTAGATAGATAGATAGATAGAGATAGATAGATAGATAGATAGATATAGATAGATAGATAGATAGATATAGATAGATATAGATAGATATAGATATAGATAGATATAGATAGATATAGATAGATATAGATAGATATAGATAGAAATAGATAGATATAGATAGATATAGATAGATATAGATAGATATAGATAGATATAGATAGATATAGATAGAGATAGAGAGATAGATAGAGATAGATAGATAGATAGATAGATAGATAGATAGATAGATAGATAGATAGGTAAATAGATAAATAGATAGATAGATAGATAAATAGAAAGATCGATAGAGAGGTAGAGAGATATGGAGATGCATATATATATATATAATTCTTATATTGTGTGTGTGTGTGATATATTCATCCCAAGTTGAGGCGTAGAAACGGGCAGATATAGGAAAGGCCTAGCCGTAGCCGGCTAAAGTTGTCCTTCCGACGGCCCCATGCTGTTGTGAACACCTACAGTTGTTCAAATGATCAAAGCCATGCGCTTTTAAATGGGAAATCATGCTAGTATCTCCTTGCATGGAACATCTAGTGTCAACTGAAAATAGGGTGCACCCATTCCATTGATCAACAATCACGATCCCGCTATTTTTAATCAACATTTGAGGATATATGGCGGTAAACCTCATTTTCAGGCAAAGCCATGTTATAACATAAGTTGGCCCTTCTGAATGGTATGAAATGAACCATATAGTCTCACCCTAAAATTGTTAACTTCCACGATCATTCACGTTGTTCCATGTTGTTCCCATCTCAAGCCAGCTCCTTTGACTGTCCAGCGGCATATTGGGAGCCTTGCCCCGGAAATAGCAACCCCACGGCCAGCTTGCTGGACCCCGATGTCGCTGCCGGTGCAGGCAATGCTTTGGCTGCAGGCGCGGCGATCCTGGCCAGACCATTTCAGGGTTTGTCATTCATGGGTGGCAACTGGTGGGATAGCAAGTAGTATAGGAAATACTCTACAATCTTGAAATACCAAAAACCATTTTTGAGAGATTTGAGGAAAAATGACGAACATTGAGAAAAAGTAAGCTCAATGTTTAACAAAGAACAAAGTAATGAACACAACATAAAGAATCTGAAAGGACATCAAAAAATCAGGACGATGGCTCTGTCCCAGAGAACGCCGACAATATAGTTTTGGCTGCCTCCTCTAATCACTGCTTTAATCTAATATATATATATATATATAATACCTGAATAGCACCCCTTGGGACAAATCTATGCTTTGGAGCAGGAGGAGATATATAGATATTATAGATATTATATATATATAGATATAGACCGTTCCTCCATGTTGTTCCATTTCTTCCCCCACATATTCCCTAAAACTGGAGATTTTCCATCCCTTCACCGAGGAAAAATTCCCTCCCAGCTGCCAAGCGTCTCCGCGGCATCCTTAATGGCCGCCGCCGAAGCCATCTTGATCCCGGCAAACTGCTGCACCGCTTTCCTGGGAGCGGATTATCCAAAATGGACCAAACGTTTTGCTAGGCAAGCCAGCGACAAATGATATAAATAAATAAATAATATATATATATATATTACATATATATATATATATATTTATATATATATGTGTGTTGGTAAACTCCCACTATAGTGATAAAATGTGAGAAATTACGGTTCTATATCTGTATGGGGCTTATTGAAAAATAAGTCGAAATACTGATTTGAGATATGTGAACATGCGAGGCAGAAAGGTATCAGAGCTCGAACAGCGCCAACAGCTCTTGCATGAAAAGGGCATGACGCATCTAAAGTGGTTTGACTCAAGAATGGGATATATGCTCTCTCTCTCTCTCTAACTGGTTTTAATCTCAAACGATACAGTAATGGGAACATCATCTACAGTTCAATACAAGTGGATGTCATCTTGTCGTGATTGTGTCAGGAAGGTAGGTTAGGATCAAGGAATTTCTGAAACGGATCCTGGATTGCGCATGGGGGAGTGCCCTATGTGTGTGCTGACATGTTTCCTAGTTTTCCATCCTGCTTGAAACGTTGCTAGTATCTGTTGAGCATCACTCCAATGCATATTAGAGCCGACTACGTCAAGAAGCCATTTGTTGGCCAATATACTTGCTGATACCGGCTAACTCTGACAATTCACCACAGCCTTTTAAAACTAGGATGTGAAAATGCATCCATCAAAACGGCCAAAGATTTTTATTCAGGAAAACACCGCTTCACCTTGCGGTTTGCACACCATAAAATCCCCAATTACTTGTGGGGATCTAAAAAAACATAAATGAAATACCCCCCATGTCCCATTAATTCACCATGTATGATGTGTATATATATGTATGTATATATATATATATATATGGAATCATTTCCACATATATGGTTTCATTTCCACAAGGTGTCATCCCCCAGTTATTGGTTGATATATAAATATATAATCCCCGTAAATTTCCTATAGCTGTATCATGATGTATCTACCGACCAAACCACTACGCTCCAAGCGTCTGCGCAGCAGATGCGACGAAGGGATCCGCATCGCTCAAACACATCTCCACCTGGAAACTTCTAATGGTTTTAGTGTCTGAGATAATGTATGTAGAATCCAGCATGGAGCCTTCAAGATTTTTTAGAGCACCATTTGATTTATACTTTACTGAGATTATACCATATGAAATGTGCATTCGTCACTTTGCATATTGAGCATCTATAACCTCCATAGATCAGTTTAGGTCATCACACCCAGGGCGAGTTCAGAGGCAATGTTGAGGATAAGAAGTGATGGTGTCCAACTCGGCTGTGACTTTTTACATCTTTTTACTATATAAATCCATCACCACCACCATACTGAACCATATGCGTCCTCGAAATCTAGGATAGACCGGACACAAATGGGACAGCCTCAGTGATTAGTACTCCCAAAGAAATGTTTGTTGGTTTACAGCCGCCAGTCAAGTGTAGACGATCTCATAACCCCATTAAAATTCAGGCAAATTCATTAAACACCTATTAAGTCTCTTTAATCATTAAAAAACAATTTAACATTCTTCAAACAAATATGGAAAAAAACACTAAGAATATCAATCATTCAACTCCACGAAAATCCAATTAATATCATTTTCATGTGGTAAACCCAGAGGCATGAGCCAAATCATAACCATTTTGATGGGTACCGGTACTATAAACATCTATAAACAATCCCCAGTCGTGGTAGGTTTATGGCAGCCAGGGTTGCCCACATTATAAACATCAACTATGGGTAATTCCATTACAAACCATTACCAACCATTTTACAGTATATTTGTCATTATATTCACCATTGCATTAACTATTATTCTAACCATTATTGAGACCTTAAACATAGTTAAACGTTACAACAAATCTCTTAAAATTCATTAACACCTATTAAAACCTATGAACATTTCAAAGAAACCTATGCAACATCTATAATGTGGGCTCCTGATTGGTGGGTGGATCCGCTATTGTGTATTTTTCCAAAACAATTCAGGATCTGTGGAAATAATTCAGGGCCCCCGATACTAATCAGGATCCAACAGTATTTAAAACCTATGAGCATCTCAAAGAAATCTATGCAATTTCTATAATTATTCATATAAAATCTATGAACATTAAACATCCACAAACATCCTATAACGAACCTCCAGCGTCCAGTCGTTCCCTTTCCCACCCTTCACCTCCTCCTCGAAACAGGCGCCGCGTTCGCCCATCTCCGTCAGGGCCTGAATGGCCGTGGCCCGCGTCTTGGCGTCCGGGTTGCCGGTCAAACGGCAGACCTGTCCGGGGGTTCAGGGATGCCTGGGGACGGTGGCTGAGATTTTTCGGTGATGCAAAGCATGGTGCTATACTTAGATGGGCCATGGGATGTTGCCGATTCCTGGTTAGTAACTGGGGATTTGTTACCCTCTATATCCCAATTATAATCTATTTACTGACTAGTTAACTAATTCCATGGCTCATCTAAGTAAGCTATGTAAAGCAATAAGACCACCAGATGTTGATGGTTTATAGCACCCACTAGTGGCAAAATTAATCAAAATTGATCAAACATATAGCACCCAAAATTATAAATTGGTTTATATTCCCACCAGTATACCATACCCAGTCATCCAAGGACCCACCGTCCCAACCTCCGATGCATACATCTGGCCCAGCTCGCCACAGCCGGCAACGGCTTTCACGGCAGCGCAGCGCACCAAAGGCGACTTGTCGTTGAACAACTTACCTAAAAATGAAAGATGGCCAGGACTCAGGTACCGATTTATTGGAGAGATCTACCATACATAAGGCATCATAAGGCCTATTTTTTCAGGGCTATGTAGATATACGCATATACGGCAATTTCCCTCTGAGGTGTTGCCAGAAGTCCAGAAGTCATCAAAACTAGTAGGCCTTGCTCTCGATATAATAATAATCGAAAACAAAACATTGACGTAAAGTGACCCAGCTTATCTTGTGCTCGTGAGACAACTTCCACATAAGCAACGTAACAAGGAAAGTCCATGTCCTGCAAGAAGAAGCCACGACGAAACTGGTCGTCATAGGCCGAAGCAGTTGCACGAAACATGTGCGTTCTTTAAATTTGGTCATCGCAACGTTTTGCGCCGCCTGCTCATTATACGCAGGACTGGACCCTTGCAAGTGCCCAACCTGGCGCCGTTGGCACTTCGCTATATGTAGTGCTCAACGTCCGTTGAGCCGTGCGACCGGAAGCATTTCATACAACTACATGTGCGGTAAGCCTGGACGGACGCCGTTTTGCTGGGCAGCTGCTGACCGCCAGAAGGCGTTGCCGCGTGCCAAGCAATGCTGGTATATATTTGAAAGGCATCCCCACCATATAGCCACTTTGCAGACTCCGCAACATCTACGCAACATGGATGTTTCTCTAACTCGCGCTACCCCAACACCATCTGTTTCGCTACAGTATATTAAAATATATTAAATTATACTATTTTGGGGACTAGGAGCTGAAATGATTTTGTCTCTCCCAAATGTCCGTTCATCAGCCAAACAACAGAAAAGGCCAGTGCGCAGCCTGTCTTGATCCATCGCAGGAGGTGCGGCATCTACAGATGGACCAAACTGAGCACACCTAGCAGGGTCTAAGCGGACATAGTCCCTATCCCTTGTAGGGATCATTGCGGCTGAAATTTCATTGCCTGGGTGAGCTAAGGGCTGCTGAGTTTTGGTACTCTACCTCAGGCGCTCCTCATCAATCGAAGCTGGATTTCCATCTGGTGACGGAGGATATCCTCTAGCAGGTCTAGCCTGCCCAGATCCCCAGATCCGTAGTGGGAGATCTGGATCTAGAGGATTTACCAGCTGATCGGCTGCAGGAAATCCCATTCCCCAAAATATGTGGAACGGAAGGGCGGAGAATCCCAGAACACCCTTGGAAACAGGTTGAGATTCTAAACACTACCATTTCTTCTCTGAGATTCTTCACCCTGCTGTTCAGAACATGTTCAGCAAACCTCTGCACAGTACCATGACCTCTGCATCAGTTCATCCAAACAACTGCGATATCCTTTATGTTCCTGTATGTTCCTGTTTTCTAGAATGCCCATCTTGTCCAAAGATGTTGGGACCGGGACCCCATCACCAGGCAGAATCTTGGCTATCAACTCCATCGCCACCAAGCTGCACAAAGGTTCCAAGAAGGCTTCTGCCTCATCGCCCATGCAGGAGAGACTCTCCACCGCACTGGCCTGCACGAGGCGAAGCAAATTCTTAGCATTCCGTCCCTGTGAAGGATCACCTTTTCCTGCAATGATAGGAGCAAGAACACAGACACTATGTTCAAAAAAAAAACTCGTTCCAAAGTGACCCTCTACCACACTTTACCACCCGGTCATCAATTGGTCATCTATGTTCCTTGTTCCTTCAGCCTACGCCTCAGCCCACCAGCCCTGTTCGTCCCTTTTTTGGATCCTGCTGGGATCTTCCAAGCCCCTGGAGCCCTTGGAGGCCTTCACCATGGGACTGGCATCCTGCAGCAGCTCCGCCACCGCCGCTGCGCTGGACGAGGAGCTCTTCAGCTGCCCCAGGGCGCGGCACGCGGCCGCGGCCACGGCGGGCGCCGGGTCCTTCCTGGGACCAACGCTGGGAAGGAACGGTGGAAGCCACGTCCAAAAAAAGAGGATCCAATAGGATCGAAGCAAGAAGGGTGATCTAAACTGGGGAAAGTGCTGATTTAAGTGGGAAAAAATGTGATTTGAATTGGGGAGAATGGTGATAAACTGGGGAAAATGGTGATTTAAACTGGGAAAAAATATGATTTAGATTGGGAAAATATGGGAAAAGGACAATTGTGATTTAGGTGGGGGAAACATGTGATTTAAGTAAGCAACATTTTGGATATTAGGCCGGAAAAAATAGTGATTCAACAAACAATTGACCTTTTTCATGGAATATAGTTATATATATATATAATATAGTTTCTATATAGTTGGGGTACAGCATGTGAACTCAAATGGCTCTGACTCAAATGGCTCTGACATGAGAGGTGTCAAAAACCGCTCAATGGTCATTTTATTACTGGGAATGACATGGAAAAAATAAGACATTGATCCTTTGAGACTTCAAACCTGTGGGATCTAAATGAGCAAAATTCGAGAACACACGATGACAATTCAACCTGCAATACAAAACGGTGATATCCAACAACAATTTCTGATTTTGGCATGATTTAGAAAAAAGTGACGGGGCTGTCCAAACTTAGGCAGCAAAGCAATGGTGATTGAATCCCAACTCGCTATGTTCCAATGCACAAAATCGGGGCTTTGATCATTTAGGCGGCACGACTAGCGTGCCGCTGCCATCAGCTCGCAGAATCCAGGGCAGCGAACACCAGTGGCTTCCCCACATTGCTGATGGCATCTGTTGGCCATGTCTGTTCCCAAGGGATTTTGAACCCCCCCAGTGCAAGCAAACTCCCATCTTGGGCAAAGTATAACAAGTCCCAAAAACATCCATTTATAACTTCCAACATTCCAACATCTAAATCCAGTGATTGATGCATATATTTAGTGAGTCCTAAACTTCCATTTGGTACTTTCGGTAAAAAATCCCGACCAGGAATTGGGCAACCCAAGTTGGGACACTTTCCATTCCCAACCACCTCTGATGGCTTTTTGCTCGATGTGTGGTGGGAGTGACCAAGACCTATCGTGAACACTCCCATCTTGTCCAAGCATCAGGAGGTCAATGAATTGGGACTCCATCCCTGGGCATGGTGCCATGGGACATCATGGACAGAAGTGAGCACTCAAAGTTCCAGACCCAGAACTCGTGGAGTATTCCCATCCCCTAAAACAACCATTCCCCAAGCTGTTTGCCGCACGATGTGGAAAGGGACTAGAAGGTGGGGCCAAGGCCAAAGGATAACTGTTGACGGACATAACTTGGTTGCTGATACGAACTCACCTTGTATATAGATACTTGTATGTCAACATTGTATGTGCACATGTCTATGGGTGAACGATCACGAGTCGGATCACGGGCGACCCAGCCCAGCGTTGGTGGGCCGGTGATGTCACTGCAATGTTCCAAGGCCTTACCATTAAAACAGGCATCACCGTGGTCAATCGATCCATATTCCTGGTGAAAAAATCCCATGAATAGCTGATGAAGTCCCATCATAAGAAGTACACACACAGATAGATATATATATATATATACATATGTTTATAATTATAAACCGTATTTTATAGGCACAGCAAAAAAAACATATATAATATATATCAAAAAAACATAAAAAAAAACATGTAGCTGGTAAATTGGTGACTAGTTATTAACAACCAGCTAGTGAATCAGTCCGAGGAACGATCTGGGTCCAGCCCAATCTGTATCAGGGCATTGATGGCTCCGGCACGCCTTTTCGGCAAGAGTTCAGGGGGGGCTGTGCGGTGAGAAACTCTTCGCACACTCAAGTGGACTGGTTTACGACAGTTGTGCAGGAAACCATGAATTCTATCAAAGAAGGGGTGTCCCTGTAATTTTCCCCACCAATTCTGGGAGACATGGAACCCACGGGACATCGCGGGACTCTAAATGAACAAGAAGACCCAAGGAGGACAGAGACAAACACCCAACTGCATTGGAAGAAAAGCAGAACCGGCTATACCCTCCAGTCATTTCACAGTTTGCTATGGAAAATCACCATTGTTAAGAGCTAAATCATTTAGACATCAGCCACATTGGGCCATTGTCCATGGCAAACTGTAACAAATTACCGGAACAACCAGAAAAAACACAGGATCCAAGTCCGAGTCGTGGCTCAGAATTGGCTCCAAATGAAGTGGCCGACCAAACAACACAGAGGGACTTCTGTTCAAAGTAGCCTGTCGTGATCAAACATTGCTATTCAAAATATTTCAAAATCCATGATTTGTGGATGTGTTTTTTCTCATTGAAAATCATGTTGAATGGATGTTCCAAAAAAATTGGCACATCTTCCTTTGATTCCCCATATCTGGGGGATTCCCAGCCATGTTTCATGACACCGGACGTTCGTCACAAATCAGTGGCAGCCAAGGCTCACTTCCCAATCCTTTGAGCTGAGAAGGTCCAGCAACTTCCCAACGCAACTTGCGCCTGGGGGGAAAGATAGGGAAACACTTCCATAACCAGAAAAAAGGTTGAAACAAAATCAACATATGGCAGTGTGTCAAAACCTTGTACCCCTGGTGAACATCAAAATATATCAAAATAGCTGGTAAATGGATGTTCATCCCACTAAAAATGTATCTATAGGTATTGACCCATACCCATATGAGTCAAGTGGGACGACAATAATCATCATCACATGGAGGGATTGAGATAAAGATGATAAAGGAACGAGAAAGTACTTGTTGACCAGTAAAGCAGCAGCTGAAACAAACTCGACCAGGAGAAACACAAACATGAAGAAACCATACTGCTTGGTGTTTTTGTGACTTGGGGATCCCATAGATGACTAGTTGCCTGAATAGTACCATCTGCTAATCCAGCCTAGCCATGGGAACCCCGTTTGTGAACGGAGACGTGATCAAAGACTCTGTAAATGTGAGATTGATGACTTGATTGTCAAAAGTAAGCCATGTTTGATGTTTGTTGGCGTTTATTTCCACGAACGAATCTGAATCCTTTGACACCTACTGGATCATGTGCCGCAAGCAGGGCGCACACTGCCTCCCTGGTTGACCCTGGTCGCCTCCCAAAATGCCCAACGCATGTGCAGCCGCACACGCGGGCTTTCGCAAGACGTCGGGAGTCTTGGGCATCACGCCGGCCGCCGCCAACATATGCGTGGAAATGTCTTCCTGGTTGGTGGGAACTTGGTTCAGGTGGCCATACTCATTGGCCATGTACCCCATGGTATCTCAGTGGTACTACATCACCTTATCAGTCTTATCATGATCTTCAAACTTGAAAGTGTTCAAAACCCATTTCATTCACCAGAAAAAATATGTCCAATCCATGTTTCCCGTAGTGCCATTCATGTAATCCCATCCCCCTTACATTTCCCTTGATGTGGATCCCAAAATTGTTTCTCAAAGGGGTGTTTAGTACTGGGGCTATGAGGGCGACGGTATTGTTAGGATGTTAGGGGGTTTAACCTAATTTTTCAAACCCAAACGGATATTGTTGGGGTTAAATCACCATCAGTCTATCCTCATGAAATCATCATGAAATCACAATTTTTCGCTAGTTGAATCATCATGTTCCTTGGTTGAATCACCAGTTTTCCTTCCATCATCTTCCTTCACTCGCGATTTTCCAGGCAGCGGAAGCCAAGCCAAGTCTCGCTCTCGTTCCCCAAGGCCGCTTCCAATGCCGCCACGTGCTCCGCCGCGGCGGGGCCCATGCCACTGAGCACATAGGCGGCAGCGGCCACGACGCCCGGGGAGGCGTCCTTCAAGAACTTGCCCATCACGGGGGCCTGGAGCAATGAAAACTGGGAAATAACAGGATTTACCCTCTTGTAAACAAACATAGCTATTGAAATTGGCAATTTATAGGTGATTTACCCATTAAAAATTGTGAGTGTCCATAGTTATGTTAGTTTACTAGAGGGTATATGGTGTTCATAATGGGAGTTGAATGGGGGAATCATTGTTAATTAATGGGATTTCGTGGATGTAAAATGTTTTAAACTTGCGTAAAAGCACCAATTACACAGAGTTGCTCCAAACACCCCAAAGTACAAGGGGGTTTATTGGTGCATAGCTGCATAGCTATAGGCTAATTGAGCGATGATTACAACTATAGTTGGATCGCTTTAGAAACCCCAAAAGCATAAGTCGTTACAAAACGGAAGGCTTTATGATCATTAAGAATAGTTGCTTTAGAAGCCTGAAATAAGGGTTTCCCCATACATCCAGACTTATAAACCATCATTCCAATGAGGTCACAGTGCGGTCATGATTCTTCATCCAGATAAAACCCAAAAAAAACCTAGAATCTAGAACTAGGATGCCGCATCCACTTGCAACCCTCTAATAGATCTCATGGCCTGGGAAGATTTGATGGGTTCTTCACCCATTTCTTGTTGTTAAACTAGATATCGTTATACCATGTTATACCTAACTATCATCTTTCAACCCTCTATCATTTATCATCTATCCCATGTCTGAAGTTAAACTAGATTGTTATACCCAACTATCCAACCCTCTATCATCTATCATCATTATCTAATTGGTGGTTTCAACCCCCCTGAAAAATATGAAAGTCAGATTGGATCATCCCAACTATTGGGGAAAATAAAATTCATGTTCCAAACCACCAACCAATTTTCGCCATGGAGATTATCCAAATGTGATTCTATTTTAGTGGGAAACTGATGGGAAATCGTAGCATTTTAGTGGGAATCTCCAACTATTGGCTTACCCTCTGGTAAAGAGCCACATAACTATGGAAAATCACCATTTTCAATGGGTAAATCCAGTATAAATAGGCCATCTATACCATGGCTATGTTAACCAGAGGGTATCATCTTTGATGGGACGATTTCCCATGATTTCCCACGAAAATCAGAGCCGTGGAGATTCCCCTCTCCGCCTGCGCCGAAGCCTTGGTTCCCAAGGTCTTCAGCGTCTTGGCGCAGGCCACGCGCACGTAGCTGTCGCCCGACATCCGCCTGTGGCTACCACGACGAAACGAGCTCCGGCTGGGAAAACATGGGGAAAACCTTGGGGGAAATCTACCAAAGACGCCACAATTAGGTGAAATCTGATCCGAAACATCGTGATTTGCATCGCTGTCTATCTTTTGTTTTAGAGGCCATATGGGATTTAAATGGATCCAAATGGATTTATACTGGATTTGTTTAGAGGATTTAAGTCGATTTAAAGTTAGTAAGTGGGTCATAATATCAGTTAAAAGTAGTGAAGGGTTAATTAGCCCGGCAACCGGGGATAGAACCCTACTTACCGTGAACCGCCTACCGTACGTTTAATTCTACTGGCAAGGCACACTGGGTGATAAACCTTGACTAACTATAAAACTGTGATACTATCCCGAAATCGAGGCTGTTTCTAGAGTTTGAGGCTGCTTTTGATGCTTGGGAATTGGAATGACAACCCCAGATACTGGCATATACTGGCAATGTGTATGTGTACCTTAGTACCTATGTTTAACATCACCAAAAGTTGAAGAGTGGCCCGGCCTCATGCAGAACATCAAGCCTAAAGGAAATGATTCAGTAAAGATCGTTTATTGAAATTACTGCATGGGTATGAGTCAGAAACTAAGCCCCTATGTTTGGTTTACCAGATTTCTGTTGCATAAATCGTACGTGATTGATTGGTTACAGAAAGCCACAGTACAAACAATTACCCCTTATCATAAGATTGCCCATAATATCACCCATAATTCCCCCATCATACTTCCCAATAATATCCTAATGATATGTCCATTTGAATATTCCCTACACTATGTTCATATCCCGATGAAAGATTGTAGTAACCTCATATGAATGGTGAAAAACCTTTTACTAGATTTAATGGGAATATAGTCCATCTAGTTTGACCATGGCACAAATGAATTAACGATTTTGAGGGTGTAAATGATGGTAAAGAAGACTGTTCACCCATTCTCTTTATGACCTCTCTATTATAGTATCACCTGTCCCCAGTGTCAACAAAGGTTTTGATGGTAGAACCAGGACCTATTCTTCACACCACGGATTTTAATCCAAATTTTGTCATAGTGAAACTTCCATTTTTCATCCATTTTTTCCTTCATTGCGAATGGTGAAATCATGTGGAAATCCTATGTTGTTTTTCTCATTTTTCGTGGTGAAACTGCCATTTTTTCCACGTTTTCCCAGGCATTTCCCCACCGCACTGCGCCACGGCACTGCGCCAGCGCTGCCGAGGCCGCCTCCGCGCCTTCCATGCCGCGCAGCGCCTCGGCAGCGGCCACTTGAACCTCAGCGGAGGGCCAAACATTGGAATGTGATTTAATGGGATTATATGGTGATTTAGTGGATAGTGATTCAATGGGATTTTATAGCGATTCAATGGGATATTAATGGGATATACCCTCTGGTTATGTCAAAATAGCTATTGAAAATGGCCATTTATAGTGGATTTACCCATTGGAAATGGTGATTTTCCATAGTTATGTTAGTTTTCCATAGTTATGTTGGAATATACCCTCTGGTAATGACTAACAGTTTGCTATTGAAAATGGCCATTTAGTTCGTTGATTTACCTCTGAAAAATGGTGATATTCCAGAAAACTGGTTGGTGGTTGACGATTACCCTCTGAAAAATGATGGAGTTCGTCAGTTGGGATGATGACATTTCCAACTGAATGGAACAATAAAAAATGTTCCAAACCACCAACCAGGAATGTTGTTGTTGGAATACCCTCTGGTAAACATGCAAAAAACTATTGAAAATGATCATTTATATATTTATACTTGATTTACCCAGCTATAAAATGGTGGATCTTTCCATAGTTATGTAAACGTTTACCAGAGGGTAAAGGGGAAAAAACAAGTTATGAAATTATATATATATATATATTCATAATATTGAGGGAAACATCCATGTTTTCATGTTTTTTTCCCAGTTATTGTAATTGTAACTATTTCCACGTATTTCCCCAGCTATAAGTCATATACAATCCATCACCGTGCGTTACATGTTTTCCATGATTTCTATTGATGTCCAGTATTTTCCACTTGATAATTACCAAAAGTCCAGGATGTTTATTTATTTTCCAGTTATTTCCATCTATTTCCCATGTATAAGCCACACACACATATATATATACCCTCTGGTGAACTAACATAGCAATGGAAAATGGCCATGTATAGTGGATTTTCCCATGAAAAATGGTGATTTTCCATTGCTATGTTAGTTCACCAGAGGGTATATATATAATAATATAATCCAATCTAAAACCGGGTTTGGCACGGTCACCGGTCACCGCCCTCAACTGCCCTGCCGACTTCCTCCAAGCCGCTCGTGGCTCCTTGTGCGACAGGAGCTTGGCGACGGAGCCACTGTCCACGTTCATGGAGGACAAGGCCTGCGCGACGCCAAGGGGAAGTGCATCCCAGATAGGATCCGTGGTTAATAGGGATTTTGGAGGATGTTATAGGATATATAACCATCAACACATTCGGGACTTATCTGACTTGAATGAATCTAAATCATTACCACATCGGGATGATGCTTAATCCCTTCCCCTTCGTATTAAACTTATTAAACATCCCGCAGAAATCATGGTGTATGTAGGGGTACACTTATAAATTCGCGAATGTGTATGTATATATATATATATAAATACACTATACTTATATAGCTATAATAAAATCACCATTTTAACAGCAACATTTTACTGTCCATGGGCAACTTTGAACAGCTATGTTAAACCAGGGAGCAGCCCAGTGATGTTCAAATGGTACCGAATCATCCCAGTGCCGACCCGCCATGGCGGCCTTGCACGCGGAGACAATGCTATCCACATCGTCGCCTCGGAAGAGGGCTGCTCTGACGATCAACCCTTGACGTTACATGAACATGCCAGGGAGATGGGTTTCTACATGTCCAAGATATGTTTATCCAGCTTTCGGATATTGAACATATTTAAGATCACCTGATAAATAAATTGGTGATTGGAGATGTTTTCCATTGTGCCTCCTTTTTCCTGGTTGAATGCCACTTCATTATCTTATTTCATTACTTTACATGGGAATAACTAACATGTGGTAGTTCAGCAAACCCATGAGGGAAGCTTCACCATCAACGAACCAAGACGCGGTGCGGATTCACAAGCTGGATCCATGTGTTGGAAATTGTTGGATTTCTTTGGTATTTTTGGTGGTACATATATTCAGCCAATCTGTTTTGGTAGGTAAACTCTTCTGAATCCCATGTCACCGTGCATGGAAAGAAAACCATGACTGGTAGTGAGTCAAGTTGAAGTCTACATTCTTGTTGGTTTCACCGAATTATTTGAGAGGAAACCTACAAGAAACCCGAAAGCCTCCAGAATCTGGGTCCATGTTCAACACGAAACCTAGGATTTAAATCTAGAAAACATGGATCCAGCACAGCTACCGAGTCTTCCATCACGTATCAATTATATATATAATTAATCAATCCCTTAAAGTCTCATGATTATAAACATTATAAACCCTATAATTTACCTATAATTTAAATGAATAGAAATGATGCTTGAATCCCACTATCGTCTCATTAAAATCCCATATAAAGTCCCATACAAGTGCTCAAATTCCCCTGAAAATCCCATGGAAAAACAACCAAATTTGGCCAAGACGCCACTCAGTTGCCGCACCAGTTCGGACGCCGAGGCCATCGTCCGATCGCGACGCCAATAAGCGGCGCCGCGGTGAACCACTCAGCTGCGGTGGGGTGGCATGGATTTTCTTCCTCGGTGGTGGGTTACCTCCATGGTAGTGGGCTGAAGTCGTCGAAAACAAATGTATATATGTGTATATGTTTATGTTTATGTCTATTTTCTTTATGTTTATGTTTATGTTTGTGCTGTTGCTGTTGCTGTTGCTGTTGTTGTTCTTGTTCTTGTTCTTGTTGTTCTTGTTGTTCTTGTTGTTCTTGTTGTTCTTGTTGTTCTTGTTGTTCTTGTTGTTCTCGTTGTTCTCGTTGTTCTTGTTGTTCTTGTTGTTCTTGTTGTTCTTGTTGTTCTTGTTGTTCTTGTTGTTCTTGTTGTTCTTGTTGTTCTTCTTGTTGTTGTTGTTGTTCTTGTTCTTGTTCTTGTTCTTGTTGTTGTTGTTGCTGTTGCTGTTGCTGTTGTTGTTGTTGTTGTTGTTATATACTATGTTTCTCATTCATTATTATTTCTATTGAAGTTATGGAAGTTGTGGTGTTTCATTGCATAGATGCGATGTGCTCGATCATGTTTTTTGAAGATGTGTTCTTTTTTGCTAAACATGTTCATGCACTTTAGATGCTCGTACTGGCTTTTCTTAAGGGTTGTGTTCCCGTGTGAGTGCGAAGCTCTCTCTCTCTCTATCTGTGCAAGTTTTGGGACTCGGAGCTATCCACGGGAAGACTGTGAATATCTGATACATACCTTCCGGTAATCAAACATGGCACTGTAAAATGTCTGTAAATGGGCATTTAAATCAGAAAAGAACAGATGTCATGTGTAAATGAAGACGTTTCCGAGTTTCCCTATCTGCGAACACATACATTGAATGGACCTAACTTCACTTGTTGAGAACTACGCAAGATCTTTTCAAAGTGCCAGGGTTTCCGGAGAATTTGCCCGCAAAATCTTGAAACAAAGCAAACGAGTTCAGTTTGGGTCAAACCAAGGCTTTCAATTGGCATCAACTCAAGGTGGCTTGGCTTCAGGCTCATGTATCAAATCTTTAAACCCTATGGATCCAGCAATGCCCTCTCAAGAAGTATTTGGAGTATGGTTTAGGGGATCAAAATGGATCAAGTATCTCTTCAAGAAGGGTTTGGGCACATCGTGGTACATCTGCATATATATTGCCAATTTTGAACTTCTGACCACTGCGTCCATGAATGTCCCGTTTAAAGGTTATGGAAAGAAACCTTGCACAGGCTACTGTGGTGAATTATGGTGAGAATACTCAGTGTCGTCGTGTCAATGTTAAATGTTACACGCTGACATGGCAGTATAGTCAGTATAAATAGCAGCAATGTACCCATAGCTACATGGTATAGATCTGGGTAAATTATAATATTTCACCAATCTGAATTAAGGCCATTTGGGGATGATTCCCCTTACTAACTATGATTATTATAGTGAGGTCGCAGTGAGGTCGTTATAATTTACCCAGATAGATGGCCCATTTAGTACGATGAATTACCTATTAACCATGATGATGTTCATTGATTGTCGCTGCCCCTGGCCTGAACATGGCAGCAAGTCACAACTGGAAGGAAGCAAAAGCAAAAGACCATTCCTCTCTGGCTTCCATGACATTCAAAAAAAAGAAAACCTGGGGCATAATAATTGTGAAAACTCAATTGTTCTATCTACTCCAGGGTAGTTCTACAGTTTATAGGTAGTTTTCTCATTGTGAAGTGCTGAGTACTCGGAAGCAAACCTGAATACCACCCATACCCCGTCCATGTCCTGTACAAAGGATGCCCCATAGCTGGCTATCATGGATCAACAATGGTATGTACATCTATACACACGTACTTCGACTGGTCAATACACCATCTTGTAACTGGATATAGAAACCCAACTATAGTGTGTACTACCTCTATATATATATAATTTAATATAAACGGTTTATATGTTCGGGTCATCGGCACCTCCTCCCACTGGGTGAACCCTGGCCCCATGATCGGACCGGGCAGCAAGAAGCCTTTCGGCCTGTCGAGGCAAAATTATGAAGTTACGAGGGAGGAAACATCAATAGGGGCGCTTTTGTAGGAAATAGTTGAATAATGTTGAATATGTCACGTGTAACCTACATATCTACATCATATTCTGGTTGGTGGTTTCAACCCCTCTGAAAAATATTAGTCAGTTGGGATAGTTATTCTCAATATATGGAAAAATAAAGATGTTCCAAACCACCAATCAGTATTTCTAGATACATGATGTGGTTTTCTCTGAAAATTGGCTACCCAACGAAGATTTTTTTGGGGGGGGACAATAATTCTCATGGGATTTGGAGTACCCAGTTGGCTATGAGTCAAAACCCTGGCACCCTAGATACCCTAATAAGTGGCTAATGGATGTTTGTTGAGGTTCTGCAGGTTCATTTGAAACGCGGCAACCGGGCAACCCCAACTTTTGGGGTTTCCGCAATTTCAAGAGCCCCTGACATTTGGGAATCAGGAGGAAAGTACCCTCTGGTGTCATCAAACATGGTTTGCCGAAAAAACACATTGAATTCGATCATTTTCCTACCTATAAACCTCCATGGCTAGTTCACAGATTTCCCAGCTAGCCATGCTTGATGACACCGGAGGGTAAGGCCGGGTAAGGTCTGTTTCCTGTCATCCGGAAGGCTTCCATTGAATCTTGAGTCATGTACCAGGAAATCGATGCCTCCCGCTGCGCTGTGTCTTTGGGGTCCCCAAAAATATCAGAACGAACCAGACTAAACCAACGTAGATTAACATCTGTTTTTTCCCTATTGAAAATGCAAGCATGGGATTACATGTCAATTCTGCTTGGTTGTTCCTTTTTTTTACCTGTTCACATCAAATCGTAGTTGGGTAAATCCCAGTTGTTCGATCTTTTCCCAAGATTCTATTCCTATCATGCGGAAAGGAAATTTCATCCGTAGCTCCTTTATCCTCTATTTCAGTACTTATATAATTATATAGTACCCTGGGTGCACCAATAGGAGACCATCCCATTAACCAGCCATGACTGGGGGGCATAGTAAACATCATCCCAGTCATAGGAGCATGTCCAAGTTCATAAACCTCTACAGTATTGCAATAGTTGGGTTTTGGATGTTATTGGGCTTGCCACATTACTAACCAATCCCCACAGTGGCCATCAATGGGTGGTGCATGCTATCCCCAAATGGTAGATCTACTATTGGGTTTGGCACTTCAATTTGCTGATCCGGAACGCCCAAACAAAAAAAAAACATATGCCCTATAGATCCCTCAAAGTTCGTGTGGGAAAATTTTGGGCGCATCAATTACTTGAGTCCATCATCTTGAATGGTTATATCATGATACATCATGTTATATCCCTAGTAAATTCTCCAAGAAATCACCATTTTTGGGTGTTCAAAACCCACCATATGCAGCAAAACGCGCCTCAAGGGGCAAGTGACCTCGAGGATTCGGATGGGGGGAGCAATCGCCTCGGGGAGCAATCGCCACGGGAAAGTGGGAGCCCATAATCTCTTGATATTTGCCGCTATACATGCCTATAACAAATGAAATTTGAATATATATATATATATATATAAATAAATAAATATATACATATATAAATATAAAAAAAATATATATATATATATATATAGGTTCCAATAATTATGCATGTTTGAGTATATGCCCATGTATTTACATGTAAGTACATATATCAACTAATCATGCGTGTCTGGGTGTGTGTGTAGGAATCATGGCCTACATTCACTCTTAAAACATCTTGGGACATGCAACAATGAGCCTCGCGATATGAATTGATGAAAATATCACTCATCCCAAACCCTGCTCATGATAAAGCCAATGGATTCAACCGGGGTATTAGCGTTGATCATGTTAAATAAACATAAATAGATATAAAGTTGCTATAGTTGAGCCATGTTGAGCCATGTTTGGGGATGTTTGGATCTTTTTGTTTGGCAAACATGCCATGCATGCAGATGTTCTTTTTTGTTTTTTTTGCAATTATAGTGGCTCACAAAATCGCACCGAATTGAAATGATCATAGACTGTCGCCATGTTTGACGACCAGTGAGGTTCAAAGCAGCAGCTGCCTCCTTGCCAATGGTGTCACAGGAGATGAAGCTCGAGCTACCGCCCTCGCAGGAACTGCAGATTCAGAAACCGAAGAACGCGGCGATGGTGATGGAGCCACACCAGATGTCCTTGGAGCAGGTGCTCCAGCCTTAGGGGCCTCGGGAACCACTGCTGCTGTGGACCTTGATGTGACCGCCTTCGGAGGCACTCCAGTAGATCTCAAGCTGTCAGTTCTCGTGGTCAACGTCACCACTTCGGAGGCACCGCCTTTCTCTCAGCCTTTGCAACAGATCCTGAAACACTGATGTCAGGTGCAGGTGATGCTGGTGGTCATACCTACCTTTGGACCATTTTTGGGGGTATAATGTATAATAGTGTATAATAATTGCTGCTGATGGCATCAGACCTGGATCACGGACTCCTTTAACCAATATTTTCATATACTTTCACTATATTCAAATATTTCTATGAGTCAAAACCCTGGGACCCTACCCTGATGTACAACGCTGGGATTTATCTATGGATGCTAATTTGACCCATCCCGGGGTAGCACAAAAATCATTCAGTTATTAAACATCATTAAACCTATGGGACTTGGGGATCCACCATGACTTTAGAATCTTTAGAACCCCAAATCCCGCCTGACGCCAAGTGAGCTGCCTCTCGTTGAAATCGGCCCACGCGAAATCGGCCCAGCGCCTGGGCGATTGGTTCACCTTTGGGTTTATGAGGGAGATGACTGTGTTTAGCTTAGTTGTATAATTGGTACTATAACTATCGCTCTCTCCATCGCCATCTCCACTGGTGAGACTGACCTATAACTATGGTTTATTGCATTTAATTGCTAAATGATAATTATAATATATATAATATATATATATACATATTGCTTAACTGGGGATACAACTAATAGCAATCCCTTCCCCTAATCATGATCAGAC